GAATTCAGGGAAATTCATCATAAAAACAATAGATAATAAAAATATAAAATTGTCAAAAATATAAATAATTTTAATTAAGTATTTAAGGAATTTATTTTTTTGTTTAAAAATGAAAATAAAAGTAAGTAAAATGAAATATTTGTATTTTATTTCAACTTTCAGGTATTTTTTTTATTTTTCTAGGTTTTTTTTTTTTAATTTTTTCAGTACAATAAAAATAATTATGTGTTTTTAAATGTTTAATTTTCCTTTTTCCATAGGTTTAGATTTTATGTTATGAAATCTGTTGCTTCCATAAGAAAAAAGAACAACATTTAAATCTATTTTTTTGTTGTTTTTCAACATACAAATAACACTAATATACCTAGTACCAAGCTCTCAGAAAATTTAAAAAATATGAAATTTTTAATAAATGATAATATAATCATATTTCAGAAATTATAATACATTCTGCTTTTATATAATATTAAGCCTCCAACATTTTTTTTCTTGTTTTACGAAGAATCGAACAAGAATTTCATTCCTCCTATTTCCTAAACTTAACCTTAAGTAACTACATATATATGAATAGATATGTATGTTATGCATCACAAAATGCATTGAAATATTTTCATATTTCTTTTTACCTTTTAATGCGAAAAATTAAACAACAGAAGCAAAACAAAACAAGAAAAGCAATACAAGATGTTAGTAATCATAAGATATAATTAAATGTTATCTTATTGCATTTTTCTACACTCTTCTTCAAAATAATAAAAAAGTTGTAGTAGTAGTATTCTTACACATGGTACCTATATAAAAATAATACTACTTTTTTCATGATATCCCGTTAACATTATTCATAAAAACATTCTCTTTTTTCCCAACTTCCTGAACTCTTTACTTCAAACCTAGGTCTACGACCTTAAAAAAAAAACTTCCGCCATTAATTAAAACTTGTTCGACGATACCAACGCCTTACAACTCCTCGAATCAACAACAATCAAAGGGTCATGACATACTTACACATCAACCATGCAAAGTCTCAAGTACGATGAACTCGGACAAGTAAACAACTTGCTTTGCAACCTTTGACCTTCTTTATAATTCATTGACCTGGCGGCCACCTTAGCTACGTACATTCATATGTACATGGGTCATGACACACTTAAACAAGTCATCTACCTATGCCAAAAAATAAACGACCCGCTATACAGGTCATGACACACTTAAAACAACTTCCGCCATTAACTAAAACTTGCTCGACGATACCAACGCCATACAATTTCTCGAATCAACAACAATGAAAGGGTCATGACATACTTACGCATCAATCATGCAAAGTCTCAAGTACGCTGAACTCGGACAAGTAAACAACTTGCTTTGCAACCTTTGACCTACTTTATAGTTCATTGACCTGGCGGCCACCTCAGCTACGTACATTCATATGTGCATGGGTCATAACACACGTAAATAGGTCACCTACCTATACCAGAAAATAAACGACCCGTTATACAGGTCATGATACACTTTAACAGGTCATCTACCTATACCAGAAAATAAGAAAGTGAATGTGGGGCGTGCGATATGAGCTGATTTTTTCCCAGCAAAAAGACACCCAATACCTACTGTCAGACACTCCTGTATTTTGTTTTATTTCGGAATTGTCATATGTTGGCCTTTGAGAAACCAATTTCATCAACTACAAGACAGTAGCGTTTCTCCCTTTCTCGTTTGTTCCTGACCCGATTATTGCACTGGGGTTTGTATCCCATGTTCATAAATGTTAGTCAGTTCAACAGGTTCCTACACGTGAAAGTGAGAGTAGGAATTGTGTAGAAGTGGCTAAGTTTGTTAACTGGATGCTGAACATATTTCATTTCACTAACCCCTTTGGAACTAACTCTCTGTTATATGCTCACCACATCAGATTTTTTTGAATTTAATAGAGAAGGAGTAGAAAATAGCAGATGGTAAAGAATTTTCTTAGCCGTTATTGCACGATAGTCAATTAGTTCTTCCCTTTTTAAACTTATTTTAAACTTTTTATGGATATTCTTTAAGATATTGAGAAAATATAGAGGAATTTGTCACGTAGCACTCCGAAGTTAGTTTTTTAAGCAGTTAAATTTGTTTGTAAAACTCATTACATAAAATAATAATGAAAAAACCCATATTATTAACACTTAAACAATTTATTTAGCACAAATGACCAAGCACAAAATCGTATACTTAAATTCCAAAATCAGTTGAGTCTGGTGAAAGAAGAGTATAACAACATTTCTGCCTAATTTTGCTTTGACTTAACTGCAACAAGTAAAAAGCCTTTGCACTTCATTCAATTACTGCGGTTGTTACCAAATTTGATTACCGTTAGATATACCAAATAAATAAACAAGGACAGAAGTAGAAGAAAACTAAGAAACAAAAGAAAACTTTTTACATATTATATTTTTGGATCAGTGCAAAAATGTTGATATGTACATACCTATAGACATATATACATATGTACATATGTATTATGTAAATCGCAAATAAAAACGAGAAAAGTAGAGTTGACCGTCCGAACTATGTTATACCCGTATAAATTTGTTATCCTATACGAGAATAATTTCCTAAGATATGACCAAACTACTATTGAAGTTTTATTTCAGCTACCAGAAGGAGCCAAGCAATTTCAACGAATTTTGTCAAGCACATTGGCCCTACTAATATATTTTCTAGTGCCAAATTTCAATACCACAGTTTTTATAGTTTCTAAGATATAATCAATAAATGTTAAAGTTGTATGGCAGCTACCCGAATCAGTACCCCGATCATACCCAATTTAAACAGCGTTCTGGCGTTTATTATAATAAATTATTTGTGAAAAATTGGTGAACTTAGCTTAACTAGTTTTTGAGTCATCGCTGGGAGAGACTGACGGTGTTCTTAGCGTTAAAAACGGTAAGACAAATTTGGTATACCCATCAAACATACGATTGTACGTTTATAATAATAATAGAGAACGTACTGAATCACTAATAAAACGTGTAGCTGTTTAATTAATAAGTATTGTGCCTATTACGCTAATAATATTAACTCAGTGGAAATTTCTTCATACAACTGCAGAACAGATGGATACAGTTCATCAAAGGAATGAGTTAAAGACAGAAAAATTAAAAAATTTTTCTCCTCGAACTTGAATCGAACCAGTGACCCACCGCTTTCTATGCAGAAGCTCTACCAACTGAGCTGCAGGAAATGAAGAAATTTCCGAGGAATTGTTCTTAATATTGCTTTTTACTGTGATCCACATGATTACTAAGTGTTGTAATCATGTGGATTACAATACATCGAGATGCTGCATGCAATTTTCTATTTGAAACACACAATCACAAGAACAAATATAAATAGGTATTGTCGCTATTACACTAATATACTGAATTACTAATACAACGTTAGTTGTTTAATTAATAAGCATTGTGCCTTATTAGTGTAAGAGGCACAATATTTATTAGTTCAACGCCTTATTAGTGTTATAGGCTGTAATTGGACACGCGTCTGTCAAATTTCATGCAGCTAGTTTCATTATCTTTCTCAATAATTAAAATGAGCTTTTGTGGTTTTGTGGCAGCTACCCGTAACTGTCAAGACATTCTATAAAAAAATTTGAGACTGCATCTATAACTGAACACGTGTCTGTCAAATTGCGTACAGTTAGCTTTCATTATTTTTCCCAATATTCAGCTACCAGAACATGCCAAGCCATTCCATAAAAATTTCGAGGATATTTTAGACTCATAACTGGACATTGGTTTGCTAATTTTCATGATTCTAGCTTTATTATTTAACCGAATATGTAAAATTAGGTTTTGGAGTTATATAGCAGCTACCCGAACCAGTCCAGCTATTATATTGAAATTTTTGAAACACATGTAAAATGTAATTGGACATACATATATATAAAATTTATTGTAAATAAATATAACATATAAACAAAATTTCATATTTATATTTTTATTAATTCTTAAAATATTTAAAATAAACTCTTTTAACATAGTTGTATGACAATTGCATGGCCTTTGGCCCAATTGGTCCAATAACAATAGGGTCCCTCCTTGGCTCAAAAGATGCAACTTGTGAGATTTTGGTCGTATTTTCCTTATTCGTTTTTGAGTTATCGTGCGATCAAACGGATGGGTAAAAGACCGTCCGTTTTATCGCAAGTGGAGACGACTCTTTCAAGTGGTTACAAATTCTATACCAATGTTGATATACCTTTCTCAAAGGCATCAAAAGTCAACATGCATGTAAATATTTTAAAAATATTTCTCAATTTTTGTTCCATTTTTTTTTTTTCAAAAGTAAAAAAATAAAACTTTGTGCTATTTTAAATTGAATTCTTTCAAAAAAACTAATTTTTCAAAAAATAATGTAAGAAATAGCCTTTCTACAACACAATTACCACGTTACGTGCAAGTAAACTGCTAAACCGATGAGATTTTCTTACGAATTGTCTCAACAATCTTTTAAAATACATATGTATGTATATAAGTAATAAAAATATTTAATTAAGTGCATAAAGGTATATAATATTGCATGTTCTTGTACAAAATATAGATATCTTATATGTTCCTGTGCAATAAAATAAAGTATAAATATGGGAAAATTATAGCTAACCAATGAGCTTTCCGTGCAAGATATGAAACTTTTTTGGGGGCTTCAATATATCATTAGAAAAATGCAAATATTACCCAAAATTGTATATGGAAGTAGAAAGATTATAAAATAAAAAGAAAGCTTTCTATTGCGTCGACAAATATCATGTTTTCTTCATATAATACATATAAAAAATTTATGCACATATATACATATATTAGCAGACAATATTCACATTGATGACATCATGTAAAGTGTTAAAAATGTTTTTTGGCAAACATTAGATGAAAATTTTTGTTTGCCTGTTCCATATTTTGGAATATTTTCAAAATAACAATATTAAGAAATAAGTAAATTTTTATGAAAATTTTGAATTGAAATAATATATGATAAAAAAAATAAAATAGTTATGCATGTGTATGTATGAAAAAAATATGTTAACATGTATGTAAAAACTTTGTTAGAAGATCTAGTGTAGTCTTGTATATTCTTTCGTCTGAATTGCAGGCACGTAGGTACTGTAATTGCTTTAAGGAACTGAATAATACATAATTCGTTGTTTAATTTGGTTTTTTATTCATTAAGTTATAATTTTATATTTATATTAACCATACTAATCATGTTTTTTTTTCTGTAAATAAAAATTGGTGAAACAGAAAATCTAAAATATATTTTAATTTAATGTTGCAATATTCAAATCTAAATCTGTTTTGATTTTCAATTTCAAAAACGTTTAACTACATGCATCCATATAGAGTGATCACACATTATTCGCTCATAGAAAATTATTGCAAGAGGTATTTATAAAAATAACAAGATGGCAGCTGAACAAAAAAAGGCACCTATTATGAAAAATGAAAATGACTACATTAAAAATATGGACGGATTTATTAAGCCCGAAAGCGATCAAGTTATTTTGTTGTTCGATTATGACGGTACATTGGCACCTCTAACGCAAGATTTGTCCGTAATGCCGAAAGATAATGAACTAAACTTAAAAAAATTAGCAAAAAATGAGAAAATTTTTATGGTAATTTTTTCCGGTCGCTCATTAGAAGAAATAAAAAATCATTTGAAATATGAAAATGTTACATATGCTGGCAATCATGGTTTGGAAGTTGAATACCCAGATAAAAAGAAATTTAAGATTGAAATGCCACAAGAATTGTTAGACAAACATGCTAAATTGGTTGAAGAATTAAAAGAAAAGGTAATTTTTTTTAGAAAAAATAAAAGTTTTTTTTTTCTTAAATTTCGAATTTTTTGAAATTCTTGAAAATTTTTAAACGATATTTTGAAGTCAATGCATAATTGAGATTAACTAATTTTTGAAGAAATTCGTTTTGGAATATCTAATACAAGAATATATTTTTTTATGAACATATTATTTTTGTTTGGTAAATTCTCTTAATTTCACTAATTATGGCAAAAAAAGTTCGTTGCTATCTAGTTTGTAGTAATTTCAAACTTTTCTAATTTTATTTTGAAAAAAAAAACATTATTGTAATATTGTAAATTTTTTTTTTGCCGGGTAAATAATTTGAATGGTTTTCTGGTTAAAAACAAAAGTGATAATAAATAAATAATAAACAATTTAGATTAATTTAGACGATATACAATTCAAAGACATGTATATATATATTCTTGCTCATCGTAAAATTCTGTGTTGATTTAGATATTTTCCTTCGTCTGTCCGTCCAATCGCACGAAAACTCAAAAACGAATAAGGCAATCGATACTAAAATTTCACAAGCTGTTCCTTTTGTGTAATTGGACCTATTCGGACAACTGGTAGCTGTCATAGAAGTTTTTTTTTAATATTTCAATAACTAATAGAGATGTTAATATAAAATTTTGTAAAGGTGTGTCCAATTTTAATGGAATGGCTGTACTGTTTCGGGTAGCTGCCATACAACTCCGGAAGTCACTTTTAAATATTTGGAAAAATAATAAAGCTAGATTCATGAAACTACCCAAGTAATAATTTTCAAGAGTAATACTCTAAAATAATCTCATAAAATTCTCATACCTCACTCTAATACTCTCATAATTTTTTTTCAAATTTTGTTTTTATGCAACTCTCATAAGGTTCTTATAATAAGACTTAGCACTTGTAGTGTTAAAAATTCTGCTTCTCTCATAGCATTTTGCTATGCAAACTACTTTCAACAACCCATAAAAAATTTTAATTCTCATAAAGTATTTTTTATAAGATGTCAACTCTTATAGAACACAACACTTCTCAACAGCCTAATGTATAGTTATAGAACAGCCAACACTTCTCAACTTACCTTATTGTGAAATACAAAATGTGCATGAAAAATCATACACCCTTCCTCATTAACATTTGAAACCATACTTAAAAAAATTTTTTTCATTTTTTCTGTCCTCCTTCCTTTCTTTCTTTTTCGTGCAATAGAATTTAAATGGGAAGCTTTTTAAAAAATGTGTATAATATCCTGAGATTTTTTAAAATATTAAACTTTTTTTTACGTAAAAAAAAATAAAAAATAATAAGAAATATGACACGATCAGTAGCATTCAAAACAAAACAGGAACGAAACCAAAAATTCGTAATATTTCGTAAAAAAAAAATTGAGTATTGGGACTTGTTAGATGTAAAGACATTAGTAAAACCATCGACAAGAAAGATCAATCCATCACCCGTCCTCTGATGGCTACTATTTGTGACATTACTCCAAAGTCATAAGTACTTATTTATATGCAGAAAAAGTCTGATGCTATTTTTCTTCAGTACTCGAAAACGAGTATATTTGGCCGCTCACCCATGCCATTTTTTACTGTAAGCCGATCATCCCCGAAATTATATTTTTTGTTATTCCCAATTTTTTTTTAATTACCATTAAAACTCTTTGAAATCTCTGATTCAATTTTTTTTTCATAAAGAACTAATTTTGGTTTTCCTGGTTAGGTTTGCGATCCCAATATTCCCAAAAAAACTTATAGATTCATTGCTTTCACACCCTGAATTCAAATATTAAATTTAAAAAAAATTGGCTGAGTTTTTCTCTTTGAATGCACAAAAATGTAAATTTTTCCCGTAGTAAAACTCTAAATGCTAACATCTGATTTCTTAAAAATATTAGGTGCTTCTTCATACTCTCAAACGAAACTTTTAAATAAAATTTCAAGAAAATCTGTGAAACACTTTCTTAAAAATAATCAAAAATATAAAACCTGTCTCTAAAAAATTGTATTTCGCTAGGCCTGTCATATCTCAAAAGTTGATCAATCCATGCCAAAATAAACTCACATATAAAATTTCGTTAAAATCGGTTCAGCCGAACTTGAGATAAACCGATCCTGCAAAATATTAACCTGTTTGCAATAGTTTATTTACATATGTATATCATATTATAAAATTAGATAAAAATTGTCATACGACCAAGAACTAAAGGAAATTGTGTCCGATATTCCCAAAAAAATCTATACATAGCAATTCTATAACCAATGTGCACTATGAAATTGTAAATAAAATGAGAATAATTTGATAACAAAAAAAAAATTTAGTAAAATTTCAAAACAAAATTTTCGTTGTTATAGTGTGTGTTGAGCGGTGCCTGGGTTGAAGATAAAAAAATATCTGTATCTTATCACTATAAAGGTGTCACAGAAAAGCTAAAAACAAAGTTAGTTGAGGATGCTAAAGCTTTAATCAAACAGCATGGATTCCAACTTATTGAAACTCCACATGCACTGGAAGGAAAACCAAGAGTAAATTGGGACAAAGGTAAGATATTAAATCATTTTTTTGAATTAATATTTCAGCATTTATTTACTTGTCAACACTTCTGGTGGTACACACATAATTTTTGTAAACGTTAATCAACACATTTCTTTTAAAGATTCAAAGATTCTTATTTCGCTTTTGTTAAGCATTTTATTTTTAAATTTAAGGAAATCAGTAAAAGTGCAATTTCTATTAAAACTACAATGTAATATTCTTTTCAATCAATTATTGCTATAATTCAAATTATCAGTGTAAATACTACGATTACAAGACAAATACGTTGCTCCAATTCAAATTATCGTGAAATTTGGTTACGGCTGGCCACATTTTGAATGTTAAATTTATGTAAAAACAAAAAAAAATGTTTGAAAAATAGTGACCGTTAGCTAAATTGAACTTAACATCCGGGATTCATCAACAATTTTTGTACTTTCAATAGTTGGTCGCACAAAAGTATAAGTAATGTGACCATTTTTGTTTTTTCATTTGGTAAAATTAGTTCTCTATATTAATTCGGTTTTCCTGTTTTATTAGAAACTATTAACGAAAGTTTTATTAGAAACTATTAAGCAGAAATACTGATAACTAAAATATTTCAAAAAATAATAGGTATATGGTTATGGTAAAAAATATTATCTCTGTATCACAGGTGCCTTCCCATAATTTACAGAAACTAAATATATGTATAAGTAAAAGAGCTACAAACATACATATATAAAATTTCAAATTTTTTTTCTCCGTAAAAATCAAATTTATCTCTGCTTTACACTAATTTATTCGTATGTTCAGCAATTATTCAATACATATAGGTTTCCTTATGTTCACCATATGTGGCATTTTAGATTTGCTCACCGGTAATACATTGACACTCAATGTGTTAGAATATGATTGTATGTAAATCAGCAATTCATTTAATTAAGGAATGAAAATTAAAACTTAGATTAAATGCATTCTTGGTTTGCACTAGCACCTGTACAATGCCTATGAAGTACTTCTTTGAAGAATAAATTCATATTGAAATGAAACTAAACATAAATATCTCACAAAAGTCTACGAGAATGCCTTCTAAATACTTCACATAAATTTTGGGAGACTCATGCACGAATCATATTTCTGATTTTATGCATTTTTCAGAAAATTTAATGTATAACAAAACAACAATATTAAGAATATATTATACTTAAACGTGTGTTATCGCTTCTGCTGCGTAACAGGCTTATTAAATTTATGAGAAAATAAATGCAACACGAAAAATAAAAAAGTTACGCAACAAATCATTGTAATATTTCTAATATGATAATGTGGATTATGTAACTACAATTTTGCTAGAATTCAGAATAATTTTTCTGAATATGAAGAATTCTGAATATGAAGAATATAAGCGAAAATACAAGATTTTTGCGCCATTGAATTTGTGTTGTATAATATAATATAGATTACAAAATCACAACTAAAACAAAAGAATAATTTGAATTCAATTACTGTTATTATTTTGCAACCATTACTTATGTATATGCAGTATGTAGATATACAAATCCATAAATAATTTTAATTTTTTGCAAATAAAGGGACCTAAGGATATATTATATAGTAAATAAATCAACTTTTCAACTTGTTCTTAAAAGATAAAAGATCACTTTGCTTTTTTCCAGTTAAAATATTATACGCTGAGCTGTTTTTTTTCAAAGTGGTATAAGTCCACTTTTCAATAAAACTAAATTAACCGTAATTTTAATGAGCTATAGACACCTTCTCTCCATACTTACAATCACAATTTCAATAGAGTTCTATTTTGACATAAAATAAACATAACATTTTGCTCTACAATGCTATCGCATAAATGTTTCTTTCGAAAGTGGAATAAGTCCATTCCTAATAATTATAATTAAAACAACTTTCTTATTGCAATTATTATTGATGATTACGACTTCAATGTACACTGCAGTTTAGCAGATATTGCTTAGCTATCGTTACTGTATTAAAAACAACATTGTCAACAAGATAACGGTATTACTTTTCTGATGAAATGATGAGAAGGAAATAAAAACTACTTTTGTTTAGTTCTACTTCGCAAGTTCTATTGTTTGGTTCTTATACTAATAGATTGCAGCGTGAGTAATAAAATATAACTGCTATTAAAACAGAAAATTAAAGGTTTAAAACAAGTAAAAACGTTTCAGTTGGTATAAACCGATTGAATTATACCCTGCACCTTTCGTTATTGTGTAGCAATTACTCGAACCTGTGAAGTCATTCTATAGAAACTTCACGGATATGTCTGACCTATAATCGGACACACAACTGCCAACTTTCATGAGTCTGACTTTATTATTTTTCCAAAAATTTAGAATAAGCTTTTAGACTTGTATGGGACCTACTCGAACCTGTAAAGCAATTCCACCAAAACTTCAGAAATATATCTGACCTATAACTCGACATACAACTGCCAAGTTTCATGAATCTGACTTTATTATTTTTCCAAATATTTAAAATAAGCTTTTGGAGTTGTTTGGCAAGTCCCCGAACCTGTCAAGCAATTCCACTAAAACTTCACAAATATATCTGATCTATAATCGGACACACAACTGCCAAGTTTCATGGATCTGACTTTATTATTTTTCCAAATATTAAGAATAAGCTTTAAGACTTGTATGGGAGCTACTCGAACCTGTCAAGCAATCACATTAAAACTTTAGAAATATGTCTGACCTATAATTGGACACACGACTGCCAAGTCTCATGAATCTGACTTTATTATTTTTCCAAATTTTTAAAATAAGCTTTTAGACTTGTATGGGAGCTACTCGAACCTGTCAGGCAATTCCACTAAAACTTCAGAAATATATCTGACCTATAACTCGACACACAACTGCCAAGTTTCATGAATCTTACTTTATTATTTTTCCAAATATTTAAAATTAGCTTCTGGAGTTGTATGGCAGGTACCCGAACCTGTAAAGCAATTCCTCTAAAACTTCAGAAGTATATTTGACCTATAATTGGACACATGACTGCTAAGTTTCATGAATGTGACTTTATTATTTTGCCGAATATAAAAAATTTGCTGTTGGAGTTGTATGGCAGCCACCCGAACCTGTCAAACAATTTCACTAAAACTTCGCAAATATATCGGATCTATAATTGGACACCCAACTGTCAAGTTTCATGAATCTAACTTTTTTATTTTTTCAAATATTTAAAATAAGCTTTTGGATTTGTATGGGAGCTACTCGAACCTGTCAAGCAATTCTACCAAAACTTCAGAAATGTCTTTGGCCTATAATTGGACACACGACTGCCAAGTTTCATGAATCTGACTTTATTATTTTGCCTAATATAAAAAATTTGCTTTTGGAGTTGTATGGCAGCCACCCGAACCGGTGCAGCTATCTCATTAAAATTTTTAGAGCATATGTAGAATATAATTGGACACATGTATACAAAATTTTATATTTGTACCTTTATTAGTTTTTGAAATAATTAAAATAAACTCTTTGAGTTGTATGGCAGCTACCCGAACCCGTTGTCCGAATTAGTCCAATCACAATAGGGTTCGTCCTTGGCACAAAAGAAGCAACTTGTGAAAGTTTGGTGTCGATTGCGTTATTCGTTTTTGAGTTATCGTGCGATCGGACGGACGGACGGACGGACGGACGGACATGTCTAAATCAACGCAGAATTTTACGCTGAGCAAGAATATATATATATGTCTATACCGCAGATGACTCCTTCAAGTAGTTACAAACTCCATACCAAAGTTAATATACCCTTCACGAAGTGCAGGGTATAAAAATAATATTATTTGTTACAATGAGTTCACATACCTGTAAAGAATACGACAATCTGTCTGAAAGTAATGTTGGTAAGTAAGAGTAATGATTTTTTTGCCGGAACATTGAATTTATTTGTTATAGAAATAAGACCCATGAATATGAGAAAAAGAAGAAGAATTTATGAATCGAAAGAAAAAAGCAATTTGAGCAGTATCAATTCAACATCTCTACAAACTAAGAAGAGAATTAGAATTTTTGAATTAGTTGATGTAACGACTGACGAAAGCGTTGTTACTTATTTTCGATCACATTATGAAAATAATTATCAGAAGTTTAGGAAAAGTAAAAGAAATAAATGCAAAAAATATTATTCGCAAATTGGAAATATTATTCCTGCTGAGAAATTCGAAAATAGGGATTGCAAATGTAAGAAATTGTGCGAGAATCGTATGAAAGAGTCTTTCGGGAACGAATATCACTTTTTAATGTCTTTTGGGAAAGAGGGGATTTTAGAAAACAAAATACATTCCTGCGTGAATTCACTCAGCGTGCGCCAATCAAAAGAAGACGAGGTAGAAATTTCAAGGGATCAGCCAGAGATTATAGTTATAAATAATTTTTCAATATTGAAAAGGAAAGCATTGAGGTATGCAAAAAGTTCTTTATAGATTGTACTACATAGGGTTTTCAAAGCAAAGACAATAGGAAATGACTTACGTGGAAAAATAAAAGGATCTTGCAGAAAGAGTGATGAGACACTAGTGGATGTCGCAAAAGATCATATAAAAAGTTTTCCACACTATGAAAGTTATTACACGCGTTCTAATAATCCAAACAGAAAATACCTGAGCTCTGATTTAAACTTAAGAAAAATGTTTAACTTGTGTGTTGAAAAGTGCGAAGAAAACCATACAACATTTCTCAGCGTGCGAATATATAGAAAAATTTTTAAGAATATTTTTTTTACATAAATATCCATTTCAGCAAAGCTTTTATGTCTATAAAAATATGGACTTAAATTTGCTCCTGTTTTTATTTTTTGTAATATGTTACTTTTGAAAGTGGTATAAGTCCATGTGGAGCTAAAAAATCGTTTATTTTTTCAAAAAACTTTAGTATGTTATTATTATTTCATAATAAAATTTAAAAGGTAGTAAGTGTAAAAAACATCACTTGAATTGATTAAAGTTGGCCAATATTTTTAAATTCATTCAAATGCAAACCCTTAAATATCTCAATATATGGAAGAATGGATTTACACTTTCAAAAAACCAGCTCTATATTGCTTTTTGGTTGTCTACTATTTAATTATTTGAATGTAACATAGAAAGTTTGTCCTGTTATTTTTTGAACCTTGGACTATTAATTATTAATTTTCATAAAATTAGAACATTATACATATATAGCTACTCAGTTGTCAAAAAGTACTGGAATTTCTAGAAGGGCTTGAGACAAAGGACAAAAGGCATTAGATAGGGTTTTGCCTCTAGGTTCCCAGAAAAATCTGACATTGGAAATTTTTAGCCCGAAATAGCTCTATTTTAAGATTTTCTGAAACAATTTTTGTATAACAAAGCACGCTTTTCTTTTATACCTTTTATAAATAGAAACACAAAGCAGGAAATAAATGATACGTTTTACGTTATTATTAGAAACACAAACCGAGAAATAAATAATATTTGAAAATATAATGATCTCACATATTTTTGGTTCGGAAAATCGAATTAATCTTAACGTAAATAAATGTCAGCTTTTATCAGGCATCAGATGTTTTGTGGCGTCTGAATATTAATGCTCCATTTGTTATTGTTTTAAAAAAATATATATACAGAATATATGTACGTATGTAGTTAGAATTTTATTTTTATTGTTCCAAGCGAAACACTGTAAAATGCTAAATTTTAAAACATTCTGTTTTTGCCTTAACCTTTTCTTCATTTGAAAAGTAACATTCATATGTACATACATATTTTTGAATACAATTGTTATTTTATTTTTTTACTTTTTTCTGTATATAACCGCCATGATTTAATAATTATGTGTTTCTATATGCCAAACTACAGTTTTGAATATTACTCAATTCATATAGAAAGCTTAAAAAACATTAGTTAGGGAGCTTTAAAAAATATATACATACATATTTATGTACTTAACTATTATAACAATATTTTTTTTGGAAATTTTCTTTAAACTTTTAAAATAATATTTATCTGTTATATATTAAAAAAAAAAAATAAAACAAAAAATTTAAACAAAATAAAAATTTTTTTTTTAAAATAATCCAAAAAAAAAGAAAAATACGACAACATCCAGGCAAGCATTGATCCAATAATCTCCTGGCAATCAGTCTACCACGCTACCCACTATGCTACGCAGTACCTTGAATTTCCCTTTATAATAATTCTATATTTTATTCATATTTCGTATAACTCTTCAAAAACCATCCTACATTATAGATATATAAGGTTTTGCCTCTAGGGTCTGAGAAAAAGCAAGAATTCCACCCAGCTTCCCCCTCCACCCCCTCCCAAGATGCTTTGAAATCTTTTTTTACAAAATGGTACTACATCCTGTAGGGGTAATGTTTATTTACTTTTGGTGGTATATATCGTATGTAAATTCATATTTGGAAATTAGAGTTTTAAGAAAAAGTAATCACTTTCTTAAGAAATTGTAAAGTTTTAATAAAATCTACATTGTTTTATAATAAGTATGCACGTACGCATTCAGTTATGTATTCTTTTGCATTTAGTTATGTTTTAGTAAGAAAAACATAAGTGTACATTAAACTTCTTGACAATATATTTTTAGGTCAAAATTTAATAAGAAAATGTTATTCTATTGCATTAAACTTTTTACATATAGGGTATTTTCAAAAAAATATTTAGAACGGAAACTCGCTGATATTGATTTGTAAGGGAGAAGCTTTTTTAATTTGATTTTAAAAAAAATAAAATTATCAATAAATAAAGGTTCATCTAGCAAATCGCATTTTCCAGGGTTCGAACCTGGGACTTTTTGCATAGAAATCGTATTCTATACGCATTACCCTATAGACGTTAGCATTGGTGTTAATTCATTCTACAGTCATGCATTTTATTCGCATGTATTATAAACTTCAAATACATACATGTATGCATTTTAGTAGCGAATTATTTTATGCGTATAATAAATGCTTCGTTTCGTAAGAATAAATTTCTATAAGCGCAAAAAGCTAACGCTAAGTTACATGACATTAAAAAATATAATTATTTTTCTTAACTCACAAAAGTAACCCTTAAAATCGAGCATTATGTTAAACCCACTTTTTATTAATTTTTGCTTTATTTCAAAGACTGCATAAATCGTTCATCCTAAATATATGCAATCCTAGAAATAGTTTCGTGTATGAATGAAAATAATTTTTATAGTGTGATAGGTATACTTCGTATGTAAAAATTATAAAACAATTACGAAGTATGTAAAAATTATAAAACATAAAGTATTTACATACGAATTTAGTTTTGCTGCAAAATGTATTAGTAAGCAAAACATAAGTGTACATTAAATTTCTTGACAATATATTTTTAGACCAAAATTTTATAAGAAAATGTTATTCTATTGTTAATTTTTGAATATACCCTATTTCTAAATTTTTTAGAAATAGGGTATATTCAAAAAAATATTCAGAACGGAAACCCCCTGATATTGATTTGTTAGGGTGAAGCTTCTTTAATTTCATTTTAAAAAAACTAAAATTATCAATAAACAAGTAAAAACGTTTCAGTCGGTATGAACCGATTGAATTATACCCTGCACCTTTCATTGTTGTATAGCAATTACTCAAACCTGTGAAACCATTCTATAGAAACTTTACGGATATGTCTGACCTATAATTGAACACACAACTACCAAGTTTCATGAATCTGACTTTATTATTTTTCCAAATATTTTAAATTAGCTTTTGGAGTTGTATGGCAGGTACCCGAACCTGCCAAGCAATTCCACTAAAACTTCAGAAATATATCTGATCTATAATTGGACACACAACTGCCAAGTTGCATGAATTTGACTTTATTATTTTTCCAAATATTTAAAATTAGCTTTTGGAGTTGTATGGCAGGTCCCCGAACACCCCGAAGTTTTCCACACTATGAAAGTTATTACACGCGTTCTAATAATCCAAACAGAAAATACCTGAGCTCTGATTTAAACTTAAGAAAAATGTTTAACTTGTGTGTTGAAAAGTGCGAAGAAAACCATACAACATTTCTCAGCGTGCGAATATATAGAAAAATTTTTAAGAATATTTTTTTTACATAAATATCCATTTCAGCAAAGCTTTTATGTCTATAAAAATATGGACTTAAATTTGCTCCTGTTTTTATTTTTTGTAATATGTTACTTTTGAAAGTGGTATAAGTCCATGTGGAGCTAAAAAATCGTTTATTTTTTCAAAAAACTTTAGTATGTTATTATTATTTCATAATAAAATTTAAAAGGTAGTAAGTGTAAAAAACATCACTTGAATTGATTAAAGTTGGCCAATATTTTTAAATTCATTCAAATGCAAACCCTTAAATATCTCAATATATGGAAGAATGGATTTACACTTTCAAAAAACCAGCTCTATATTGCTTTTTGGTTGTCTACTATTTAATTATTTGAATGTAACATAGAAAGTTTGTCCTGTTATTTTTTGAACCTTGGACTATTAATTATTAATTTTCATAAAATTAGAACATTATACATATATAGCTACTCAGTTGTCAAAAAGTACTGGAATTTCTAGAAGGGCTTGAGACAAAGGACAAAAGGCATTAGATAGGGTTTTGCCTCTAGGTTCCCAGAAAAATCTGACATTGGAAATTTTTTGCCCGAAATAGCTCTATTTTAAGATTTTTTGAAACAATTTTTGTATAACAAAGCACGCTTTTCTTTTATACCTTTTATAAATAGAAACACAAAGCAGGAAATAAATGATACGTTTTACGTTATTATTAGAAACACAAACCGAGAAATAAATAATATTTGAAAATATAATGATCTCACATATTTTTGGTTCGGAAAATCGAATTAATCTTAACGTAAATAAATGTCAGCTTTTATCAGGCATCAGATGTTTTGTGGCGTCTGAATATTAATGCTCCATTTGTTATTGTTTTAAAAAAATATATATACAGAATATATGTACGTATGTAGTTAGAATTTTATTTTTATTGTTCCAAGCGAAACACTGTAAAATGCTAAATTTTAAAACATTCTGTTTTTGCCTTAACCTTTTCTTCATTTGAAAAGTAACATTCATATGTACATACATATTTTTGAATACAATTGTTATTTTATTTTTTTACTTTTTTCTGTATATAACCGCCATGATTTAATAATTATGTGTTTCTATATGCCAAACTACAGTTTTGAATATTACTCAATTCATATAGAAAGCTTAAAAAAAATTAGTTAGGGAGCTTTAAAAAATATATACATACATATTTATGTACTTAACTATTATAACAATATTTTTTTGGAAATTTTCTTTAAACTTTTAAAATAATATTTATCTGTTATATATTAAAAAAAAAAAATAAAACAAAAAATTTAAACAAAATAAAAAATTTTTTTTTAAAATAATCCAAAAAAAAAGAAAAATACGACAACATCCAGGCAAGCATTGATCCAATAATCTCCTGGCAATCAGTCTACCACGCTACCCACTAGGCTACGCAGTACCTTGAATTTCCCTTTATAATAATTCTATATTTTATTCATATTTCGTATAACTCTTCAAAAACCATCCTACATTATAGATATATAAGGTTTTGCCTCTAGGGTCTGAGAAAAAGCAAGAATTCCACCCAGCTTCCCCCTCCACCCCCTCCCAAGATGCTTTGAAATCTTTTTTTACAAAATGGTACT